CCCGCCCGCGTGTCCCGCCGCCCGCGTGTCCCGCCACCCGCGTGTCCCGCCGCTTGCGCGGGAAGCGCCTGCCGCCCCGCGCCGCGGGGCTCCTGCCGCCCGCGGAGGCCGTTCCGGGTGTTACGGTTCCACATTCCCACTAAAAAGAAACTTTTGTTCAGCACTTCCATCTGAGGCTGGGTGTTAAACCTCCTGAAACTCACGTCATTAAGCTTCTTTAATTGTTAAGCTTGCAAGGAGTTTAAAAACATATGTTTAAGTGGAAATGACACAAAATTGGGGACTTGGAAGTGTGTAACCACTGGTAGAAAGCGAGTATCCGTGCTGGCCCTGGTGTTTTCCATGTGCTAGGACAACAGTCACTGATTTCAGAGCTCCTGGGTGGATGGAGGCTCTCCATCCTGGTGGATGGAAGTCACAGCAAGCAGCTCAAGCGCCCTAGCCGTGCGCCTGGAGCGGTGCCCCTCAGCACGCGCTATGAGTTGCCTGCTGACCACCTCCTCCTGGGCCCCCGAGGGTGCTGCGCCACAGGAGCACGGAAGCAGCGCTTGCTCCTGGAGCTTTCGCCCCACAGGGTTCCCGTTGCTGCCTGCCTGGGCCGCGTTTGCTCCGCAGCCCTTTGCCGCTTCCAGCTGCGCTCGCGTTTATCCCTGGGCGCCCGGTTGCACAACCAGCTGCGCTCCGGGACCCCTGCTCGCCACCCGTGGGCTCCGTGCCCATCCCCGCTCTCTCTGCCCACTCTCCCCTTTTGCCGATGAACTTCCCGAATGTCTCACTGAGGCACTTTGCGGTCTGCCCAGCACTTCTACACAAGGCTTTGCCATTAGTGTTCAGGTCTCTCTGAGCTAATCTCGCTGTTCGTCCTGATAGTAGTTGGGTAGCTACTTTGCTCCTTAAAGCCTGCAGAAACGCGGAAGATTTTGCAAGAAGGGAGAAGCCTCCCGGAGTGCCTTGCACTCCATTTCCATGCCCTCTGCCCCTGCAGCTCTCTGTTACACACCTGCAATCCCCTCTGCCCCACTGCAGTGGTTACAGGCTGTTTGAAGCCCTCCTGGGCTTGTGTGTGAGGCCTTCAGCGTGTCCTTGCGCTTCCTTTCAGAGCCGTCCGCGTGCCTGGGCCCGGCTGCCTTGTGGTGTTGCCGGCGCCTCCCTGCCTGGCAAGTCGGAGCATGTCCCAGCGCCGCCGCCGAGACGCAGGAGATGGCAGAGCCACCGGGGCTCAGGGACGAGCGCGGGGAGGGCGCTCCGGGGGCTCCCGCGCCCGCCAGCCCCTGCCTGGCCGACAACAGGCTCAATCTGGATGTTTATCCGGACGGCTGCGGCCACTTCCTCCAGCTGCTCGAGCGACACCGAGGAGACCTGGCCCGGGTGGAGTTTGTCCGGCTCAGCAGCAACGACCGCCTCCTTGGCACCGCGCTGGGTGCGCTCCCTCTCCTGCGGAGCCTCAAGTCCCTGGTGCTCAAAGGTAAATTCATGGACCCATCACCATCAGCTTCCCTGGGCTCGGCTTTATTCATTTTTCCTTCTCCTCCCCACATCCGCAGGACAAAATACCTTTGCGTGTATTTTTGTTTTGCTTTGCTTTTTTTCTTTTGTTGTACCAGTACCCCTTCCTTGAGCTGTGGCTCTGCCTTGCTCAAAGCTGCCTGCCCATTTCCAAGATGCAGGTTGGAGCCCGAACCAAGATGCAGCCTGTGGAGATTCTCATTCCCTGGCTTTGCTTCTGCAGCTGCCGGAGGACCAGCGTGTGGAGCCTGCTCAGGCTGATGCTGTGACTTTATCCATCCTCTGGAAAGCGAGGTTTTTTTGGCGTAGTTATGTATAGAGAGGGGAATTGAGAGAGTGATAGATTTTTGCAGGTAAATGTTCAGCCCCTCTTTTATTTTTGGAAATGTTAATGAGTTCTTTTTGCTGCAGGTTGCTCTGAATAAATCCCAGCTCGATCCTTGCTTAATGTTGGCAAAGATGAGTTGAGCAGCCTTCAAGAGCAACCGGAGGAGTATCCAAAAGTATGACTCAGGGTGTGCCTGGAATTTGGCATGCTGTAATGACAGTCACCTAGAAATATTAAGTCCTGCTTTGACTTTCTCATCTCTTTATTGCAGGAGAATCTCAATGTGAGTGACAGGATTTTTTAACAGACTGAATCATTTGGTCTTTAGGAGGTGGAATTTAAAATGCATGAGAGAAAAGGATTTGTGGCCAGGCTTCAAGATTTGAGCCTGAAACTTGGAAGACTAAGGTTCATTTTTGCATCTGCCACAGATTTCTCATAGAAGTCTCATGCAGATCATTTTGTTTGTCTTTTTCTCTTCAGTATAATGGCGATAACAGTAATGCCTTTTGCCAGACTTGCCTGTGAGATGTGCATAAACCTTGCACATCCTGAAGGGAAATAAAGTAGTCCACTGGGATTTTCTTATGAACGATGTGCACTTTGATTATATATATTTCTTACCATTATGCGTCAGGAATATTTTTGGTGCCCTCTGCTGTAGGCCGTTACAGATGGGCAGCAGTGGAAGGGCAGAAGAAGCTGTGAAGAAATCGAGCATGGGGCGAGTTTGTGTTTCCTTGCCCAACTTCGTTTTCCTGGGCACAACCTTTCTCCAGCTGGAGTTTCTCAAGCTGGGGTGTGTGCGCACGTGGCTGTGTATGTTGTGCCCTGTCCTCTGAACCCTCCTAACGAGCCACCTGCCTTTTGGCCCTATTTTCGCTGCTTTCCTCTGGATTGCCTGGGGTTCCTCTCCTTTCCTGCCTGTTTCAGTCCTTGGAGGCTGCTCATCCCTCGGGATGAAGAGCAGAGCCTGGAGGGTGAGGAGAGCCTCGGCAGCATTTATTGTCTAAGGGAGGTAATCAAAGATGGGGACAGAAGGTGGGGGGCTTGGAGGGGTAGAGACCTCCCTACTGGTGGTGCTTAGGTGTGGAGTGGCCTGGCTGCTCTTGAGCTTTAACTCCCGATGCATTTAGGGGACCTCTCTTCATCGACCATGGCAGTCTGGATTTTCTCACTGTTGCACAGATGGGGAAACTGAGACAAGGAGTGGAAAAAGCACATATCCGTATGTCCTTTGTAGTCAGCAGTGCTCCTAGTCATCAGCAGCTCTCCACCTTGTGAGCATTGGTGCTGTGGCTTCAGAGGGAGCTCTGTGAGGCTCCCGTCGTCCAGTGCCCTGCCCTGTGCTTCCTCCCACCCAGGTGGCCATGCCCGCGACGAGTTCGGCTCGCGGCGGCCTGGCTCCCTGACAAGCTTGCCGCCAGACTTTGGGAACCTGAGGTGTCTCACTCACCTGGACCTCAGCTTCAATCGCCTCTCCACCTTGCCCAGCTGCATCCCCCACCTCCGGAGCCTCCGCGTGCTCTTGGTGAACCACAACAGCCTCGAGGCCCTGCCTGAGGACTTCGGCTGCCTGAGCAAGCTGACGTTCTTCTCTGCTATGAGAAACCAGCTGAAGGGATTGCCACGGAGCATTGGAGAGCTGGCAGCACTGCAGGACCTCTATCTCTCAGAAAATGCCTTGGAATATCTTCCTGAAGAAGTTGGGAATCTGCACAGCTGCACCGAACTGGATCTGTCTGGGAATCGGTTAGCCAACATCCCAGACTCATTAGGTAAATATTGCCCCAGGGGAAGAGGATGACCCTCAGTCTCCATCCTCATAGAGTTGTTAGCAGGAACTGTCCATTATGCTGGAGCCTAGATGGAAGGGATATCACAGAGAAACACTCTGGGTTCAGGCAGACCCTTTAGCGCTAAGGATCTCTGGACCGTGTTCTCGGTCATCAGTAGGACACTCCTAAATTTCTGTCTAGTTTTCAGAAGCCTGGCTGCCTTTGGGTAGCACCCAGCACTAGAGACAGGAAGCTGAGACTTGATGGTATAGCTGGAAATCTGGACTTGAAATCACGGTTGTCAGATACAGACCAGCCCATGGAGCTGGGCCCTGCTTTCCGCTGCCCAGCGGCTTTGCTGGCTCTTGGGTCCTGCTTGATTTTGTGCACAGGAGTTGTCAGTGATGCTGCTGTCTTTTGCAAGCATCTCACAGCTGGGTGCTGCAAAGCACAAGACAAAAAAGACTGCAGTGCCTCTCAGCTAATTCACTGGCCCCCTTTATTTTGCGAAATAAAGGTATGAGAAGCACTTAGCTTTTCCCCTGTGGGGTATGCAATTGGGGTGAAGATCGGCGCTCAGCGGGAGCAGTGTGTGTGTATTTGTTTACACACACTGAGGAGGGGAGAGGAGAGCGGTGCGGGGGGCTGGAGCTGGTGCTCAGTGTAATTAACAGCCCGGATGGGGAGTCACGTCCTGTTCTAACCTGCAGCCAATTTGAAGTGTCTGCGGCGGCTGCATCTCCACAGCAATCTCCTGGTGACGGTGCCCGCGTCGCTCGCCAGCCTGCCCAACTTGTCCAGGCTGGATCTGCAGAACAACCGCCTGCGGGCCGTGCCCCCCGAGATCCAGACCTCGCCGTTCGTGCGCCTCCGCGGAAACCCCTTGGGAGAAAGCGAGCCCTCCCCACGGCCTGGTAATTGCCTGGCTTCTCATCGCGCCTGCCCAGCTGCTCCCTTGCTGTGCCCACGACAGTGTGAACAGATTTGGGTTAGGGAGGAGAAGCAGCGGGGAGTTAGATCAGTATTTCTTTGTCTGGTGTTAATGATTAGTTTGTTAGGATGCAACGTGCTGGTTCTGGAGCTGCTGCGCTCAGAGTCCTTGCAGTGGGCTTATTTGGCCTGCTCCTAGGAACGTAGAGGTGAAAATGGGATTCATGGGAAACAGAGAGGGCAACAGGAGGTGAGCCAGCAACATGATTACCCCGGCTTCGCCCTTGGCCCGTCCACAGGAGGGCAGCTGGATCTCCAAGGCGGAGGTGATGAAGCAGGAGTCTGGGTGAGGATTCCCAGGGCTGCTCACATTGCAGGAGCAGCCTCAGGTGCTCTGCCCCTGCCCTGGGAGCTGCAGGGGTGGTGGATGGGGAGCTTCTTGGTGCTTTCCTGGGGAAGGCAGTCAGCATTCCTAGTGCAGCTGGGGACCCCTAGGCTGCTTCCCACCCTCCTCCTTTTCCTTGATCTGAATCCTCCTGGAGCATGGTTTCTTTAGTGACTTCTCTCACATTAGGATTAAACTAAAAACAAAATGCAAGTTCAGTTTTTCTTGTTTACCCTGATTGAAACAACCTCTGTCTCCTCCTACTACCCAACCCTTATTATTGCAGATGAACCCAGTGCCAGAAGCCTGCAAAGACTGTTCCTTGCGTCAGGAGAGGACAGGTATGCCTCTGTTTTTAAGAACTTAAGTTATAGCAGTGTTACAAGGTCCTAGACATGATTGCCTGGTCACGTACAAATGCACATAGGGAATTTAGGGCCTCAGTAGGCTGGTCAGAGAAGGTGGGAGATTTCTTCTGTTGATTTTTGGAGTGCTGAAGTTATTGCACAGTGTCATACATTCATACACTTTTTTTTTTCTGGAAGCTTTACCGTGACCTCCGAAGGCTGCAGAGTATTCCTGGACTGTGGCATCTGTTTCTGCTTTCCCCCGGGAGCTGCCTCCGTCCCTCTCTGCGTTCACTTCCGCACCCTTGAGCCGGACCCGCGGTGGGTGAAGCTGCGGCACCACGATGTCCTGCTGAGCCCCGTGCTGGAGCTGCAGCCTCACGGGCTGGAATTCCAGCAGGTGAGGGCACGTCCAGGCTGAGCCATCGGCCTTGGCCACCACCCATGGCAGCGTCCTTTGGGACCAGGGTGCCAGCTACACCCGGCACTGCTGGTTTTCAGTAGCTGTTTGGCTGTCAAAAAAGCCCCACTGCAAAGGCACAGGAAGGACACAGCCAGCCTCTCTGGCAAGTCCAAAGGTTGGCCTCCCTCTTTCCTTTTCCCCACTGTTCCTGCATTTGACCTTACCTTGCAAGGAGAATGGGTCACATCTTTCCCTAAAAATCCACTCGAGTGGTTCTAATGCAGACTCCTGGGTACTTGTACCACCAGCCCTGCCATGCTGACAGCAGCTGAGCTGGAAGGTTGCTTTGCGCTTTTCTGCCCGCAAACTGCTCAATTTTCTCTGCAGTTATGTGCGCCTGACATTTTCTGTCCCCTCTGTGGAGGCTGCAGGCAAAATCAGGCTCCCAGCTTCTCCCGACTTCCCCCCACAGGTCACACTTTGTCCCCCTCTCCTCTGCACAGGAAGACACAGGAGGCCCAGAGCAGAGCTAGGCTTGGTTTTGTCCCTTCTGTTGGTGTCTGCTGGGAATGGCCTTTTGTACTGGCTCTGTTCCAGGAGGTGGAGATCTGGATGCCGTTTGCTTCTCCTCAAACCCTCCAGCAGCGTGAGGTGGTTGTTCGGACCTTTAGCGGGCAGAGCTGGAGCGACCTGAGAACAAAAGTGGGGCAGAGGAAGAAATCAAAGGTAAGCATGTAGACGTTTATCACTCCTGTTCCCCTCTTGGGTTTTGCCTGAAATGGTTTGTGAAGCATCTTCTGAGCAGTGTTGTTGTGTCCAGATGGTATAAAATGGAGTGGATTTCACCTCTGGATTTGCTGTCTCATGCAAATATGTCTCCTAAAGCTGATAAGTTAAAGCATGCCATGGTCCATTCCTGTTCTGTTATAGGGCATTTTGATCTGATGGAATTTTACTGCTTTTTTTTTTTTCTTGCTCTTCTTGCTGTTCTTGTGTTATATTCCTGCATGTTTTCTCTTCTTCCTTGTCTTCTGTTACAGAAGCATGTGGCTTGTTGTAGTGTCCTTCACTTCTCCTGGTTCCTAGTTGTTTCTCGGCTTGTAGAGAATGAATGCAAAGTGCCAGCAGAGGGGACATTGCTCTTTTCTAGTGTGGATCCAGACATTAAAGTGGTCTTCCCTCCTGGAGTCACTGAAGAGACTCGCAGTGTCAAACTACAGGTATGTGTGCTTAAAAAAAAGTAAAATAAAATAAAGGGTGAGCCTTGGAGTGACTGCTGACCCATTCTGAGTAGCAGATCAGAAGCTGAGCTGGCTGCCCTAGGCTGGTATGGGTCTGACATGGATATGTCATGGGCTGACCCTTCTCAGATCACTTCCTGCCTTAGTTTCCCTCCCTGCAAAATGGAGAGAGGATCTCCTCTCTGCCCTGCCAGCGCTCCCCGTGGCGCATCAGCTGCTGTGAGTGGGACAGAAAGAAGCTTTTGCCTCTTGCTCCATTGCAAGGAATAACGGCTTGGCAGAGCAGGTCAGCAAGTGAGATCTTTGGGAGCTGCTCATGCAAATCTAACTCTAGAGCAGCCTCACTGCAACTAATGGTGCCGTAGAGCAGGCAAGCAGTGCTACGTGCTGCTGCCATACCCTGGTTTACCTCTGCTTGCCAGGTTGGCACCAGTATTAGAGCAGAGTGTCGTCCGGCCACTGGGCTCGCTTTTCCCACTGCACCCCGAGCCAAGCACAGCATTTGCCTGCTGGATGCTGGGGGTCTGTGCTGCTGAGAAAGGGATGTGAGTGCCCAGCTGCCCGACTCACTGTGCTCCCTTCCACATCCAGGTGCTGCCGATCTCTGCAGAAGAGATAGAGGAAATCACGGCTGACACGGGTTGCCGAGCCAGCCCCCTGCTCTGCCTCTCCCAGGATTGCCCGGCGGATTTTCTCAGACCAGTGAGAATTCAGCTCCCCCTCCCACTTGGGGTCACAGGTCAGTTTATTCCCAAAGTTGCCCAAGAGCGTGTGGAAAACCATAAGTGGCAAGCTGTTTTATTTTTTTTCTTTTACTGGTTTACCTGCAGGAACAGCACTGTGGCGCGGTGCGTCCGCATGGTGGGTGCTAGTGCAGGGTGGCAGAGAGAGCAGAGGCAGTTCGGATCTCGTAGCGGACTAGCACTGAGCTGCTGGTCCTGTGTGGGAAGAGGAGAAGCAAGTCACAGTAAAACAGCAGCAGCAGCAGGGAGAACGGCCCTGGCAAATGGGTTTCCCTGCCAGCCTGCATTTCTATTTAGCCTGCTGGGTTTGGTGGGATGGTTGGGAGAGGCATTTGTGCAAGCCGAGGAGATGTATCCTAATAGGGCTCTGATTCATGACTGGGAATAGGACGGCTTGAAGCAGACAAGGGAGATGCTGCCTCTGGGGTCTCAGGAATCAACTGCTGCAGTTAATATTGTAGCATCACACACTAAGCCACCTCCTGCTCTGAATACTGTTCCATAAATGGCCTCAGTCCCATAGCTCACTTGCAAGGAATTCCCCTGTCTGCGTGAAGAGTACCCTGTACCTACTGAGTTCTGTTTTCTTTGGCCATTCCTGGCTTTCTTATGAGGAATCAACGTATTTTTCAGTATTGGCTTGGCCTTCTTTCTCTGGTACAAGACTACCTGGTATTTGTATGGTTGGAGTGCATTGACATTGAAAAGTCTCTGGGCTTTATGTTTAGAAAGAGACAGAACTTTGTTAACCCCTAAATGCTGGTAATGGGGATCACACAGTGAATCTATGTTGGTGGAGATGAGCACACTGTCAGTTTAAGACTGCATGTTCTGCCCAAGATTTTCCTGGAAGCTTTTGGATAGTGAAATCCTATTACTACTACTACTCCTGGACCAAAATCCTGTCCTGAAGGACATGATCCCCTGCTGAAGAGAAGGGCATGATACTTATTTTGGCTTTTAGAAAAAAAAATCAAAAAGTGAATCACCCTGAACATGTCTGGGTTTGTAAATTCATGAGTAGAAGGTGGAAGGAAGATGGCCCTCTGCACCTCAAATTAAAGGCTTCTGCTGAACAGCACATGTTGGTTTTTGTCTTTAGGGTTAAACCTGGATCGGTCGAGGCTGCGCCTTCTCCACGGTGACCTGCAGGGCCAAACCTGGGATGACATTACCAGTCAGGTGGTGCTGGAATTCACCCATCTTTATGCAATCTTTGAAGTCACCCACTTCTCCTGGTAAGTGGAGAATTAGTCTTCAGGAAGGGATGGGATGTTTCTTCATCTTGCTTTTTCTGTCCCCCAGCCAGAGATCATGCCATTAATCCTGCCTGTTACACTTTTCCTTTGGAGTTCAAGCCCAGCTAGAAACATTCCCTTTACCCATCATTTTTAGGTACTGGCTGTGGTACACCACCAAGACCTACATAGGAGGCATTGCCAAGAAAGTCTACGAGCGGCTGCGTATGTACCAGGTGAACTTCATTGCTCTGCAGAGGAAGAAAGATCCTGAGCAAGTCCTGCTTCAGTGTGTCCCCAAGCACAAGGTCTGTTCTAGGCTGCATTCCCCAGCTTCTGAGTTCTGGGACCTTTCTTTTTGGGATGTAAGGACAGCGGGGCACCACACGGTCCTGTTCACTGCCTTGGGGTTGTGGCTGGGGTTAGTTGTTTCCACACTGCAAGGGTACTGTAATGCCAACTCACTGGGAAGCAGACTCATAGCAAGGACAGAAACAATCTCCTCAGTCTGCTTCAGTGCAATGCCAGGTCAGCACATGCTCTCAGAGAGGGTAGTTTGAGCTAAGTTGTCTGACTTGCCCTAAAGGAGGTGGGAAGCACTTAGGCAGCTCTTCTACCCTCTCTGCCCTCCTCTGCTGTCGGCCCTCAGCAATGCTGTTTCAGATGTCCACAAAATAAAAGTGATTCGTGTTTGAAGAGCATGTACCCTGCAAGGCAGTGCTGCTCAGGGAAGCTTCATTCATCAAACTGTTAGAGCTGAGCTGCATGTCCAAGTCTCGGATTAATCCTCTGGCCTGATTGCTCCCTCCTGTATTTATTTGTTTTCCCTCAACAAAATGACACCACCATATGTAAGAGTCTCAGATTTCGTATCCAGGAGATACAACAATAGCACTCGCAGCACCATCAAGGTGCTGTCTTCCTGCTGGTGAGGTTGGAGAAAGGGCTTATTGCTATAAATGTGAAGAAGGATGGACATCATAACTGTAGGCTAACCCTTGCACTGCCTCTGTGACCACAGGGTTCACAGAGTTAAGATACCGTAGGCTGCTATGCCAAAATACGTCTTCTGGTGTCCTCAGCTGTGTGCTGCTGCAGCTGGTGGGTTTTGCAGACTACTAGGAGGGAAAGGGAGCAAGTAACACCCTGCTCTTGAAGGTCACTGGCATGCTAAAAGGACAGTGAAGCTGATGATACCTTTTAGGGGCGGCTTTGGGGTGGCCTACCTTTGTTAATCCACACAGGCTTTTCTGCTTTTTACTCAAGAACAGAAATAGGGAAGTCAAAAGGCTCAAGCAAGACTTGTTCCTCTAGTGAATGTGTCTGCAATGGGAGTGGCTAGATGTTCATTCATTTGTTTTTCCTTTCCACAGTAAATAAACTTTCCCTTTTGAAAGTGAATGAATATTATGGGCTTGAGGATACGGGTATGGGGATGGACACTAATTGCTTCAGACCAAACCCGGGGCTCCTGTGGTGTTACCTTCATCAGGTTGACCCAGTGCTGAAGAAGCTGCAGGACCGCTACCGAGGACCCGAACCATCCGACATGGTCGAGATGTTTGAGGGAGAGCAGTTCTTTGCCGCGTTTGAGCGAGGCATCAGCATTGATATGGGTATGGTGGCTGTGCTGGGCTCCTTTCTCACCCTGCCCCGGCTCCTGTTCCCTCTCAGGCTGCTGTAGCCTGCAGAAGGCTCCATGCAGGGCTGTTTGTTTTGTGACTGATCTGCTTGTGCAGACAGTTATGTCCTTTCCTGGATATCTCAGACACTGCTATGGGATGCCCATAGGGATTTAATTAATGTTGTCCATCTCTGGGAAAACCTACTTAAAGATCTCCTCTCTGGAGGAGATTATGAAATGATGCAGAGCGGAGAATTCCATTACCAAATTCCATATATATCTGCTATCCCTCCCTTTTCATAAATCTATTATTCTCCAACAGAGCTTTTAGAAGAGATAGAAAGAGGGAGCAGGACCAAAACCCAGGATGGTGTTTTATGATCTGAATCTATTGTAGCTGCAAACTGAGCCACCTGCAAAACCTGAATAGACAACTCAGTTTCCGTGGTGTAAATTAAGACCACTCTATCAAGAATAATAAAGTGCACTGGATTTGCAGTGGAGTTGATGAGCCTGGAATCTGTCCCTTTACCCAGACTTAGGCTGGACTCTTAACTTAGCTGTGTATATGAATGCTGTACCTGTTTATATATTTTTCCATTGGTCTCCATTCCTATTTCCTCTCGCACAATGAAAATGATGAAGAGCTAGGTGATCTATTTTGGGGTATTACAGAGTGCTATTGCAGCTGATTCTGTCCTTGCCCTGCCTTGCCTTCCGTTATTGAACTTGATCTCCACCTTGTGGCCATTCTCCTTCATCTGCTGGACCTGCTCTCCTAGGTCACCCAAGGGAGAAAGGGACATTAAAATTGTTTCAGGCCTGATTAGAAAGAGGAGGAGATTGTAGCCTGGAGGCTTCCCGTGGATGACAGGCTGTTGCCCAGGCTTTAAAGCTTGCACACTTCTCTGCACAAGTTGAGTTACTGCTGCTTCTCTGCTACAGATCGCCCTGACTGTGTGGACGGACGCCTCTCGTTCATATTTTACTCACACTTGAAGAACATGAAAGAAATCTATGTGACCTCCCCTGTAGACAGGAAAGGCCAAGCTGTAAAAGGCCAGGTGAGCAAACAGTGATATTTGTACAAAGACTTTTTGTTTCTTCCATTATCATCATTATTCTTTTTATGGTGCTCCTCACCTCAGTCTCTGCATGCTGTGCATGACTTTTCTTTCTCTCATTCCCTTGCCTAACTGAGCCCTGAATGTGCAGAAAGAGGAGATGTGGGATGATCACTCCCTACAATATCTCTCAGGCTTTAGCTCTTGGGGAACTAGCAGAAATGGGAGGGAGTTTAACTGTTAAGGCAAAACATCCGTGTCCCTCTCAGTCACACTCTACTGGAGTGTGGAAGGACATATTTAGGATCCAAGGATAAGAGGGAAATGCCAAGTCCATCCTTTCCCAGACAGAAAAGCAGGTCTGCCACTGTGCTTGCCTCTGAGTCTCACTGCATGCTCTCTGTTTGCAAAGGTCTCCTTCTACCGAGGGGCAGTTCCTGAGAGCGTCCCTGAAGAGGCCAGTAGGAGGAGGAAAGGACCGGACTCGCTCTGGCTTGCTACTCTGCCAATCAAACTGCCTGTGAGTTATCCTGTCCTACAGAAAAATGATGGGGAAAGCGATGGTCCCCACAGCTGGGGAAAGAGATGCCCTTCCTGCTGGGCTAATTTTCTCCCCCTTCATGAATGACTACAAGAAAACGCTGCTCAATTGCACAAGGGAAAGGAAAACTTCTCTCCCTTTTAAGTACTCTGTGAGAGTAGAGGAAGGGTAATAGTTTTCTGTAAATGAAATGTAGAGTAGCATTGTGAGGAAAAATCACTGAAGCATGATTGGAAGCTGGCTTTAGTTAAGAGAAGTTTCTGTTTTGAACATAAATTTCAGTGTTACCCCAATCACACAGGCTAGAAAATAGAAAGGTCTTGGATGAGGTAGTTTAGCTGGATTTGAATACAGGTTTTGGGTGAAGGTATTCTGGTGTGAGCCACTGGCCTTTAAAAGACAGGTCATGTGTTACAGAGAGAAAATTGACTTTCTGTTATATAATCTAATTGATTTTGAGAAGCTTAAACTTGAAAATGTCTCTGTATGCTGAACATTTCCCTTCAAATCATGTGCTGTCATCTTCCATCGCTTTCTGACACATGCAGCCTCAACTAGAAATCGAGACCGTGTGGTCTCTTGCTGCTGAAGCAAATAGGTTGCGGGAAAATGGTTCATTAAAAAATTCTCTATAAAGACAGGAAAGAAATTTCCCAGTGTGAGCTGTGACTATGAGCTCTGTAATTTGATATTTTTCAGAGGCACTGAGCATTACCAGTCTTGCAGGTTAGAGTGCTCACTGCTTCTTAATGCCTGACTTTTCTGCCTTGAATTAATATTTTCCTTCCTCCTCAGTACGAAGAAGCAAGTTTCAGTGTGGAGACTGAATGACCAAACATTGTCCTCTTCTAAGAAGATTTATTTAGCAATTCACATCTCTTTTTTTTTCTCCTATGAAACAGAGATTGAAATCCCGCTCGGGCGACAATTCCAGTCCCCTGAACGGCTTTTCCTTCCCTCCGCTGAACCTGGGAAATGCCGAGACCGGCTACCTGACACAAGCCAACCTGCTGAGCATTGCCAGGCGAGTGGGAGGCGACTGGCAGACCATCGGCTTGAACCTGGGCTTCAGCTACCAGCAGATTGAGCGCATCGGGTACAACCACAGGTACGGGGCATGCAGGGATGGAGAGCGACCCGTGACGTACGACTGCAGTGCGGTAATCTCGATTCATGCCTGGCTGGGTGGAAGTTTTTCAGCTGGAATTGTTTCACTGGACGAAAAGCAGATTGAGCAACAGTTCTCAATATGTTACCCTTTTCATGGGAAAACTGATTGTTTTGTTTTGTTGTTAAAAAATAAAGCATACTGTTTGAATAGCAAAGTTTGGAAATAACAAACCCGAGGAGCTTTGTAGCTTAGATGTAGTATGTAGTTAGATGTCATTTAGATGCAGTTAAAAATCAGAATGCTTTAATTTGAAAATTCTGTTAGGGGAAAAAAAAAACAAAACACTTTTCTAGAGAAAAGGGGAAAGGTAGGTCCACCGAGTGCTTTGTGTGTGTCTGGATGACTCTCCTTCAGTGCTCGAAACTTGGGCTGATCTCTTTGGGTTGCTGGTAAGGAGAGAGTGTTGGTGACTTCTGTGTTTGTGCCTTTCTTTAGAGAGGACCTTGATAAACAGATCCTGGACATGCTTTTCTCATGGGCTAAGCAAAACTCCGAAGATCCCAACTGCGTGGAAAAGTTGATCACAGCCATGAAGGAGAGTGGCCGCCAGGACATTGCTGATGAGATTGAAGCCATCATTGAGCTGGGACGGCAGAAATACAGGGAATCCATCCGCCGCGTGGGCTTGGAGCAAGAGAGCAGCACGGAGGACTCTGCAACAGCCATGGTGTAGCACCTCACACACACAACACTTTCCTATGGAGATGCCTCGTGGGCCTGGAGTGACAGCAGCTGTGGGCTGCTCCTGCTCAAGGGCCATTATCCTCCCAAGGTGGCACACGTGGATTTACTTGCGAGCAGACACCCATGCTCTGCTAGGGCCAGGCTCATGTGTTCCTTCTGCTAATCCCAGAAAGTTTACAGCGTGTTTATGAGCCGTTTCTGTACTTCCACTTCCTGACTTTGAGCCTTAGATTTGAGGAACACAGAGAGCCTCAAGTGGCTGTCGGTTGAGTCATGGCTGAAGAAGCCTTTCATGAATTAATACTCACGACAGAGATATTTATATATAACTTATTTGTGAACTTATTCTTTTGCCAGAAACTAGGAACATAGTGTGAGCATTGCTCATGGCTCTGCTTGTGCTCCAGAGCATGGTGGGAAAGTGGGGGTGCAAAAATGTTGGAAGTTCCCTGGTGCAGTGCAGACTGTTCAGCTATTTCTGTTAATTCCATGTATTGCTCACAGACCTGTAATGCCCAAGCACTTCAGAGCCTTTTGTGTGGAAAAGTGAAGGGATCCCCCTTCAATCTCCAAATTCTCCATGCAAATCTTTTCTATTTTATGCCAGATCTCTTTGTGCTTCATCAAGGCCAAAACAAAACCTAACTATTGTGCAGGAGAGGGAAAGATTAAAAGAATTTCTGGCAAAATTTCTCCTTTTTTGGAGGGAGGGTTTTGTGCTCCAAAAACTATTTTAGAATAAATAAAATCTCACAGGTCCCTGCACCTGGCATGCTTTTTAGATGAGATCTACATGTTGGTGGTCTTTAAAAAAAAGTCCCAGTTTTAGTAACAAATGAGTAAAAACCTTAACTCTGATGTTCTGAACAGACTCTAACTTGAGTTAGCTTTCCAGTTCGGCAATCTGAATATCTTACAAGACTGTAGCTGTTTATTACCTTTTAGGTACCCAGACACTGTCTCTGGAGGTGTAACCATCTCATACTGGGCCTCATCTCCTGGCACAGTAGTAATAGCGAAAAGTTTTATGCAAACTGTTTGAGAGGCTATAGTAATCCGTGTATATTTAAGCCATTCAAGACAGCTTTGGATTCAGTACATCCCACCTGCTTAGCAATATTTAAATATTTAAGTCTGAAAACTGGAGCACTGTATGAAAATGCCAGGTTGCAACACCCAAAGTCAGCTTGTAACTTCAACTTTGAGAAAACCTTGAGAAAACCTTTCGTTTTCTTCCCCTTTTTATTTTTATTCTTTTCCTCCTTTTTATTTGCTTTGTGCAATGTTTCCTTCAGTGATTTCCATGATGCAGTTTTTCAGAAATGCTACAAGTGCTACTCAGAGCGATACATAAAATTGTTTCTCTTTATTTATTTTTTTTTAAGGGAAATTCCAAACCGTTGGGCCACAGAGTGCCTGCTAGGTGCTGGAGCACTGCGCAAGGACTTGCACATTTGACTTGTCGCCTTGGGCCTGAGACTGACTCGGATCTGTTTTTTTAGGCCATGCTACCCCTCAAGTGTCATGCCAGGCTCGAGCCAATGGTCCTCTTCTGAATGAGCATGTTCCCTGGTAGCCTGTGTCAGATGTACCTGTCGTTTCAATGTGTACCAACGAGGTAGATGTTCTTTGCTCCAGTTTGGAGAGACATATTTGGGCATATTGCTCTTGCTGGGAATAAAATCAGCACTTACTGTTTCACAGCTCTGTGTGGTCTGCTAATCCTTGCGTGCCCGGAGGTGTATAAGTCGCAGCCCGGTCCCTTCACGCCAGTCCTGCCAGCAGGAGCGCAGGTGAGCTTGGCTGTTCGGGTAGAAGGGGCCAGGCCTGAGCGCTCGTGGCTACAACTGGCAGCACGGAGTGCAACTAGGCAAAGGGTACGACTGCTGATCTGCTGTGCTACAGTGGGGCTAGGCTGGGAAACACAGCAGCCAGAGCTTAGCTTTGCTGGGGTAGGACCAGGATTTGTGGGCACTTAAATGAAGAAAGGGAAGGTAAGTAACTCCCGCAGACAAATGCTGTCTTTAGTCTGCAGGGCTGGCCCGGGCAGCTGGTTTTCTCCTTGCAATGGTGCTGGATAAAGTGCTCAGCTGAGAGCACGGAGGGGCTTGAGGAGAATCAGCATGAGCCTCCGACTGCTCTTTTCTGTAGCTGACTTGGCAGCAAATATTTGAGCTGGATGTAAGTCAGTGAACGGTGTGTTATTGCCAGGCGTGTTATCTTTATCGGTGATCTCTTTGAGGTGCAGTAACTCCTTCTTAAGCCTGTAGGTCTGTGTTGCTACGGCCAGGAAACCCTGGTGATTGTTGCGGTAGGTGGTTGAACCAGCAAAAAAAGAAATGTGAGATTTATTTTTCGGGCTGCCGCTGGCTCCCCTCTTTGAAACGAGCAGAAAGGTCCTGGTGCCAGAAACAACCAGGCAAGGTGGGGGACTGGGATGACTGTTCCTGTGTGATGCCATGGGCCTGCTCAGCACCTCAGTGTCCCCCTGACAGTTGGGTAGAAAGGGTAGGTGTCAGTACGTCCAATACAGCATGCCTAAAATACCCCTGAACATATCCGAACTATTTCAACTAGAAAAGACTTCTCAGAAAAAAACTGAAACATAAAGAAAAATTTTAGGAGACGTAATATTTTTTGTAATCCATATTTGACTGCAGCTTCTTCTCTCAGACTCCCTCCTGCCTCTTAAACGTGCAGAGCGCAAGCAGAGGACCCACTGCTGCCAGACCCTGGGGGGCAAGCAGGGCATTTCCACCTCCCGCTTGTGCTAACTAGGCCGCTCCAATCCTCCAGATAAAGCCTTCCCAGCCCCTGCGAGGTTTAGAGATTAATAAATTACCGAGTAGTGAAAGCCCAGGCAAAGCTCGTATCAGTTTATTAATTATGTAACACCATGCTCAAAACCTGACTATCTCCTGAGGGGGTTTTAAACTGCCTGCACTGTCACAGCAGTAAGACTGCCGTGACATTCCTAGTAAAGGGCCTGCAGGTAACCTGAAGGTGGCAGCGAGCCAAAAGGGGCTGCTTTCAGCTTCTCCCTTTGCTGTGACCAGACCACACCACTGTAGAATTCAGCACCTCCATCGGCTGCCCCGTTCAGGGAAAGGTTTTGAGGAGGTGACATGGGCACTGTGCTGAGGGCTGGATTATCTGGTCCTTCCCACCGCGCCGCAGCTCGATGCGTTTGGCTCCCGCGGGGGCTGCTCCGGGAGGCCGGGACGAGGCCCATCCCGTTCAGCGAGCCCGCCGGGAGCTGCCACCGGTGCAAAGGGTGAGGGAGAGCATCGCTCGGGCTCTAACGGATGGCCCCGATTCCCGGCGAGCGGGGCGCCCTGTCGGCCTGGGGCACCCGGCAAAGGTCTGCTCTCCGCACCTCCCTGTTGGCACCCGCCAGCACGGCTTCCTAGTGGAAAATAAGGATACTCATGATAGACCGGGGGGCGGTGCGTGGCCGCTCGGCCGTGTCGGGACACGGGCACGGGCGGTGGGTCCCGACCGGGCGCCGGAGCGCGGCGGGGGGCGGCGGCGAGCGC